CTGAGGACTGATGGATGTGGGGGGGAGGGGGGATGGGCATGGAGGAGGACACTTGTGGGGATGAGCACTGAGTGTTATGTGGAAACTAATTTGACAATAAGCTATTTGTAAAAAAAAGAAAAAAAAAAAGTTAATGATGACCAGGAATTAGGGAAGTGCAGGGATGAACAGGTGGAGCACACAGGATTTTTAGGGCAGTAAAACTACCATGTGTGATACTGTAATGGTGGATACGTGTCAGCATGGATCTGTTAAAATCCATAGAATGGACAACACCAAGAGTAAACAGTAATGGAAACTATGGACTTGAATAATAAATACGTGTCAATGTAAGTTCATCATTGTAACAGTTGGAATAAATGCGCCATTCTGGTAGGAATGTTGATAGTGGGGGAGGTTGTGCCTGTGTGGGGGAGGGTGGGGGTGTATGAGAACTCTACTTCATGCTCAGGTTTGCTATGAACCTGAAACTGCTCTAATAAATAATGATGTTAATTAAAAAACCATTTCATCAATGAATAACTATCAAGAGAAGCATATATTCTTCGGGAATGTTTTACAAAATATTTTTGTTTTATCTACATTAATATTACATGCACTGTAGATTTTTCTACAACATTATTTTGTTTCAAACATTTTTCATCGCCATTACCATCCCCCTCTTTCTCTTCAATGGGTGAATACTGTACCATCATTTATTTCATCAATCCTCTCTTGACGGTCATTTGTATTATTTTAAATTTCTAATAAATACTATTAAAATTCTTAAAAAAAAAAAAAAAAAAAATCTAACAGACTTAACACATCAGCGACTTTCATGTCCCAATAAACTTTCAAGATGAACTGCGTATGAAAAACTGAATTCTGCACCCATTCTACAATCTCTTCCCTAGGATTTATACACTGAAGGTATTAACCGGTAAGGGATTTTAAAGATTTTTTTGGATAACTAGAACTTGTTCATTTCACATGAACCCAGGTGAAGTTAAAATTTTAAGTAACAGGTAGATGTTTTGTAGAATTATTTTTAAAATCCTTAAGTGGTTCCCAGACTAGATATGGTATATTAACTCCATTTCTTGTCACGCTTCATTTCATAATACTAACCATTTTCTTTTTGGAAAACTGTCTTCAGTTTTGGAACTTTGCTAAAGTCAACACGTCTGTACTCTTCATCTTCTTTCACCACCACATCTGGTTTACCTGAAACACAATTCTTTTAAGTAATCACCAGTCGAGCCAACATTGAGCCAGTGAGGTGCGTGCGCCAGGCCCCGGGCAGGCAGCCTGGGGTCCTCTGTGCCCGTGCACCTCGCACCACCCTGAGGACCCCACACGACCTCCTACCACATGGGACCTGTGAGTGGCTGAGAGAGGAGCTTACTAAATATTCGAACGGTTCAAATCTTTGATTTCCCCCATCTCCTTCTCTTCCCTCCCCCTTCTGCCACCACAGATGCCACCGGCTCTCCTGGCCCCAGCAGCCGAGGGGCTCCGGTAGTTCCATCATTCAGAGCCCAGTGACCACCTCTGAATAAAAATGTCACCTAAACCAAAGGAACGAGACTTTACTGTGGATTTAGTCTGCCGGAGGCGGGGGGCGAGGGGAGCTCCCGGCTCTGTGACCTCCGTGACCGGAGCCCTGCAGAGGGGGCTCTGGGGGTGCGGGCGGGACCAAGGAGCCCAGAGCCGAAGCCGCCTGGCCATGCCCATCTAACACATCCCCTTTGTCACTTAAAAGGCTACTATACGGTCTGTCACTTATACTGCAAAGGTTTCTAATACATTTCTTGAGTTGGAAATATTCTTAGCAGAATCTGGGGAGTTAGAACCTGATACTAAATTGGGTTGAATTATATTCTCTAAGCTGGCAACACTTCCCTATATTAACCACCACCGATCTGTTGTCTTCAGCCAAACAAAGAGAAACATATTAACGTAAACCCAAACGTTTACAGCAGGCGAGTCCACTGAAACCCAAACCTGCTGGAACAGCACCCGCCTACCTCGGGCTGAGATCGTGACTGGAACGACCTCGTCTGCAAACCGCCCGGCGTCCCAGGCCGCCTGACTTCTGCTGTAGGAGCCCACCGCGTACGAGTCCTGCTCCTCCCGCGTGATGTGCAGCTGCTTCGCCGTGTTCTCGGCACAGTTTCCCTGATGCAAGTAGGGATTTTTTAGAAAACTAACTCAGTTTGTGTAACTTACAATAACTTTGTACAACGTAAAAGAGTGGGTAGCAGTTAAATTCATTTCCTTAAAATACGCTTCTTTCAGTACAGGGTCATTTTTCACTCACGTCTCATCTTCAGGTACGTGGGTTAGTTCACAAGTTGCTCTCTCAAAGGCAAATAATTTATAATGGTTGTGGGATCCATTAGGAGAAATCAGAACATGCCCTAAACCCATGTGGGGCAGTTTATTCAACAACTGAATCAAACTGACACAATGAGCAAAGCTAAGTATTTTCCTAAAACAATTGGTGAAAATCAGCATTTAGAGAACCCATCTTTCCTCTCCAAAATACACTTATTTTAAAAAATCAAGCAGGGGCAGTGGGTGACTCAGTCAGTTGAGCATCCAACTCTTGATTTCAGCTCAGGTCATGATCCCAGGATCAAGCCCCTGTGTGCTCTGTGCTGAGCAGAGAGCCTGCTTGAGATTCTCCCCCTCTGCCCCTCCCCAGCTTTGCATGCACTCTCTGAAATTTAAAATAAAAGCAGTATTGTATACTAGATGGTATTTCTTCTTAAAAAGTAATAATTACCATATGGATTTTATTGTAGACATCAGTTAGCCCATCTTTCACAATCAGATCTTCAAGCTTCACACCGCCGTACGGTGTAGCACCTCTGTTCATTACATAGGGGACGTTGGACATGCTCTCCATCCCACCTGCCACCATCACATCCTGCTCAGTAACAAATAAACACAACGTCAACTCCAGCAGGGACTGCAAACCCAGTATGCCCACAGCTCCTACACACAAGTGTTCTGTGGGCCTCACTAAACACTTGCTGCGCGGTGAGTATAGAGGTACCCTCTTGCCTCTGATGAAAACAAATGTCTGAAATGTGTGATGATGGGATGGGGCACATGGGTGGCTCAGTCGGTTAAGCATCCATCTTCAGCTCAAGTCAAGATCTCATGGTCTGTGAGTTTGAGTCCCACACCTGGCTCTGTGCTGACGGTGCACGGCCTGCTTGGGATTCTAGCTTTCCCTCTTTCTCGGCCCCTCCTCTCTTCATGCTTGCTCTCGCTCAAAATAAACAAACATTAAAAAAAATTTTTTTTAAATAGTTAAAATTTTTTAAATTAAAAAGATGAAAAAGATTCTGTCTCTGCCCCTCCTGCGCTCATGTGCACCCTCTCTCATGCACTCTAAAATTAAAAAAAATTAAAAAGTTCAGCAAAGCCAGGAAAAGCCCTGCACAACTTAACAAATGAACCTGGGTATGTAGGAACCATAAATTCATCAATTCAGGGCGCGGTCAATGATTTCATTCCCAGGATGAACATCTATCTTATTCTCACAATGATGAAAACCCATCTTCTGGCAAATCAAAAATTTTTGAGGTTATAAGTCACCCAGAATCTCAGAAAAAGACCAAGCAAAAAGTCACCCAAAGACTAAAACATCTTGGCTGAAAACTTAACACAAGACACAGACCTCTTCTCCAAATGGAAGCGGCAAATCCACAACCCCCAAGTGACAGAAACAACACCACGGTTGTGCCCGGGAGAGAGACTCTCATTTCTAAAGCACTCGTGCCGCTATTCTCAGTGATTTAACCCCCAACTGGAGAAGGTGCTTCTCACCTGATGTCCGCACATGAGGCTCTGGGAGGCCATCATGATGGCCTTCATGCCTGAGGCACAGACTTTGTTTACGGTTGTGCACGGAGTAGAAATAGGTAAGCCTGGAACCGACACAAGTCAAGGCACACTTGTGAAAAAGATACTCTTCAAACAACTGTACAATTAAAACTGACATAACAGAACACGTTAACTTCTCATTGGCAACAGCCTCACTCTGGCCAATATAAATCTGTGTTCTGTTAAGCACTTAACATTTAAGTGGACATGGGCTCCACCATACTATGGAAGAAAAATGATCCCTGATACCTGCGCCCAGGACTGCTTGCCTCGCAGGGGCCTGACCTTCACCGCCTTGTAGAACGTTCCCCATGTATGCCTCCTTAACTTCTTCTTTGGGAATCCCTTTTGTTACAGAAAGAAAACACACATGTCCGTATTTTACTCAATCAGTGATTACCTAATAAGGCACATGACATTATATAGCGGAAATGGTTTCTTGTCAGCTTTGAGACTCAGCCTCACTGTAGGATTTTCTTTTTAATGTTTATTTATTTAAGAGAGAGGGAGAGAGAATGCAAGCAGGGCCAGAGACAGAGTAGACAGAGTCCAGAGCAGGCTCTAGGCTCCGAGCTGTCAGAGCAGAACCAGAAACAGGACTCCAGTTCAGGAACGGTGAGATCGTGACCTGCGCCGAGATCAAGCATCAAACACAACCTACTCAACCACCCGAGGGTCCCTGGAATACAAGGATTCTTTACAAAAATTTACAAATGGAGGCATTAAGGGACACCTGGGTGGCTCAGTCAGTTAAGCTTGATCTCGGCTCAAGTCATGATCTCACAGTTGAGTTCAAGCCCCGCATGGGGCTCTGGGCTGACAATGCAGAACCTGCTTGGGATTCTTTCCTCTCTCTGCCCCTCCCCCACTAGCACACACACTCTCTCCCCCCCTCTCAAAATAAACATTAAAAACAAAAGAAATGGGACGGGGCGCGTGGGTGGCTTAGTCCGTTAAGCGTCCGACTTTCGCTTAGGTCATGATCTAGCGGATAGTGGGTTCGAGCCCCGCGTCGGGCTCTGTGCTGACTGCCAGCTCAGAGCCTGGAGCCTGTTTCAGAGTCTGTGACTCCCTCTCTCTCTGACCCTCCCCTGCTCACGCTGTCTCTCTCCCCTAGAAATAAATAAAATATATAAATAAATAAAAGAAATGGGAGGCATTAAGTCATTTCTAAGTGTTATATATGCAGTTAGTGCAAAATAAATACTTGTCCCATTTAATCACTCCCCCCACACACACAAAAAAGCACAGCAAGTAGGGTGCCTGGCTGGCTCAGCAATGCAGAGCATAGGACTTTTTATTTATTTTTAGTTTTTCTTTAGATTCTACTCTTTTAACCTACAGTGTAGAATTCGTTTCAGGTGTGCAATTTAGTGATTCAACACTTAGGAGCACACTACTCTTGATCTTCAGTGATGAATTCAAGCCCCACGTGGAAGACAGAGTTTACTTTAAAAAAAAAAAAAAAACAAGTACTGACCTGCCTTCTCAATGGCCCCCTGAATTGCAAGGGTGCCAAGCCGAGGGGCTGGCAGGGAGGAAAGGCTGCCTAGAAAGGATCCGATGGGCGTTCTCGCGGCACTTACTATGACCACTTCCTGGCAAGACACAAGATGGTAAGAACTATTTCAATATTTCACCCAAACCATCTCTCATTAAATAAACACCACTCAGAGATAACACCACAGTCGCCCAGCCTCATCCACCGGGGATATGTTCGGAGATGCCCAGCGAAGGTGCCTGAAACTGGAGAGAAAGGAACAATATACTGGTTTTCCTACATGTGCACAGCGATGACAGAATTCAGTTTATACATCAGGCACAGAGAGAGGTTAACAACAGTGACTGGTCAAACAGAACCGCTGCAAGAACACCCCAGAACCAAAGTCACGTGCATGTGGTCCCTCTCTCAGGATCTTCCTGTCCGGGACACGCCCTCAGGACCAAGGCAGGAGATGATAAAACGCCTGCGGGTACAGGCGGCGTGAGGTGGGCTGGGCAGGCTCTGGGATGGAGCGTTAGGTTACTACTGGCTTTCTGGGGCCGTCGCAGGAGGATCGTCTCCTTCCAGGCCCAGGCTGGCCGCGGGGAATGCAGATAAGGAGACCACTTTATTATCTCAACAGACCTTTTATGAATGACAACCCACTCCTAAAGATTAAAATTATCTCAGGATTTGAACAGCCATAAGGCTAATCATAATCTGTCCAATGATGGTGCTGCAGGATTTAAGATGGACCCAAAAACCTCAGGCAAACCCAGTGTAAAGCAGGTACAGATCCTTCCCCGTTGTCCACAGGAGGTCGGAAAGAGAAGCCTGAGTTTCAGTTCTACTCCACCGTCAAAATCTAGGGAACGATCAGTTTACCCTGGTCACCTGCACACCCAAGGGCACTAACCAAAGGGCTGCCTCAATGACGGCGGCTCAGGGCAGGGGGACCAGACCCGCGTGTAGGGTGGACGGGACTGGGCCATGTAACAGGGACACGGCACAGCCACAGGTTCTTAAATGATTAGTAAGGTGGTATTAATATGAACCTTGAGAAAAAATAGATGAAGCCCTCTTAAACACTGTCAAACTCTATCTTAACAGTTCTCTCCTCACACTTGCCTTCCACATTCCGCTGAAGACAGAGATAAACAAGGGGATTATTCCTTAGATTTCTGCCCATTAGGGACACTTGGGTGGCTCAGTCAGCTAAGCATCCAACCCTTGACTTGGGCTCAGGTCAAGATCTCATGGTTCGTGGGTTCGAGCCCCACATCGGGCTCTGCACTGACCGTGGGAAGCCAGCTTGGGATTCTCTCTCTCTTTCTCTCTCTCCCTCTCTCTCCCTCCCTCCCTCCCTCTCTCTCTCTCTCTCTCTGTTGCTCCCCCAGTTATGCACTCTCTCACCCATTCCCTAGCTCTCAAAATAAATAAACTTTTTTTAAAAAAGTTAAAAAGAAGGGCGCCTGGGTGGCTTAGTCGGTTAAGCGTCCGACTTTCGCTTGGGTCATGATCTCGCAGTTCGTGGGTTCAGGCCCCGCGTCGGGCTCTGTGCTGACCGCCAGCTCAGAGCCTGGAGCCTGTTTCAGTCTGTGACTCCCTCTCTCTCTGACCCTCCCCTGCTCACGCTGTCCCTCTCTCTCTCTCTCCTAGAAATAAATAAAAACATTTAAAAATTAAAAAAATAAATAAATAAAAAAGTTAAAAAGATTTCTGGCCACTAGGAAGTCATTTGAGGGACCCAGAAAGCACCAGGTGACCAGATGATGGTCCTTCCTGTCTTATCCCCAGCCTGGTTCAGTTTCTTCAGGTATCTTCCACGTGGCCTCTGTGTGGCCCTCGCGGTCTAACGAGGGTCCCTGAGAGTAAGGACGAACACGGCACAGGTGAGAGAGAAGGCTGTGTCGCAGGAGACAGACGATGCAGACAGGGTAGACATCACGCAGCGCAAGGGCGCTAGACTGACATCTCTTCAGGGGCATTTGGGAGTTTAACTTCGTATTTCAGTAAGTGGCCATTCCCAGCCGCTGCAGCCCCCAAGTTGACCCCACAAAGAGGCAAATATAAGGGTAGGCATTTTTTTCTACAGGTCCACATTTTCCTTTAAATTCTTAAACTTTTAAAGCACAATTTAAATCTATACTTACATTCAAAGTGGGCTTTGATACATAACTTCGCTCCACGTATTTTATTTCCTGTAATAGAAATAAAGTTATAATGTAAAAAATATTAACCTACTTCATTTTATACATTCAGCAGTGAGGTTGTGGGGACTTCTTTCTGCTTCCATATTATTTTTATTTCTACATTCTACACCACACGTCACTGTTATAATCAGAAAAAAATGCTACTTTGTTAATACACCTTTCTGATTAGCTCTTTGAAATGTTTTTAACTTCTGCTAAGTTTATAAGCTTAAAATTTCTAAGCCTTTTTAAGTCTAAGCTTTATAAAATGTAGTTTTAAGTTCTAAATTACTTTTAGAGCTCCACAAAAAAATATCTTCGTTGTTTAAAAAATATATAAATAAAACTTGCTATTTCCTTCATCCACTTCTAATGAACATACCTGATTTATCTGAGGCAAACATACCTCATATAAACATGGCCTATATTCCCAGAGAAGTTATTTTTCAAGAAAGAAAATAGTAATAAACACCTTGCCGTACACCTCACTTCTTTCTGCACTGCTCTGAGGAACAAAACCCAACAAGAACACGTTGAGAAAATACACGTCACAGTTCAGAGACCTGACTTATCTGGAACTGAACAATCTACAGGACAAAGAAACAAATTTTTTTAGCCTCTGAAGTCAGAAAGCACAGTAAACATTCAAAACTGACAACCCCTATTTAGAACCTAATCATGTTGATAGTTATCAATGGCCAATCACATCTCAGTGTCCGTGACTCAACGCAAATAACCCACTGCAGCGCTCAGTTTATAACCAGGCACAAGAAGAAAGTAGATCTGACAAGTGGTTATGAACACACAGAACCACAGGGTACCCCCTGAAAACCGGTTTATCAAGTGTTTAGACAACAGTGGATACAAACAGCACATAAGAGAGAATGTTGTTCTGGGCAGTGGAAGAGCAACATTTAAGATCATCTTTTCCCAGGTTATTATGACGAAATAAGTCACTTTTATGGATAAAGTTCACATAAGTGACTTTGCCATAAGAAGTAACCTACTTTTGGGGCACCTGGGGGCTCAGTCAGTTAAGCATCCAGACTCTTGTTTTCAGCTCAGGTCATGATCTCAAGGTGCAGGGGGATCAAGCCCCACAATAGGCTCTGTGTTCACAGCACAGCTTGGATTCTGTCTGCCTCCCTGTCTCTCTGCCCCTCCCCCACTCATGCTCACGCTTTCTCAAAATAAAATTTAAATACATCAGAACGAACCTAATTGGATCCTGATTTTATTCAAAAATAATTGTTACAATATTCAAGGCAGCTCGTATTCTGAAGAGATGTCTTCACGGTCCTTATGAGGAAGAGATGTCAGACACACCTGCTAACAACCTGGGCCTTCAGTTGCTCAATAACCCCTGGGATCACTTCCTTTCCAGAAGGCAATTTGAGGAATCTGAGATCCATAAAATAGAGTCCCTCTACCATAGCAGCATTACAGTTTTACAAAAGGAAAAATGTTAAAATTATGTGTACATATTCCACTCCCCAAAGACAACACGTAAAAAACAGGAGGCCTCGCACACCATCCTCAGGGCTCGAGGAGAAGGCTTACTGGGTGTGCGATGGTTTCCACCTACGCGATTCCAACGACATGCCGTGGGCACGAGCTCCACATTCTAGGTTCTTCTCTCCAGTATATCCAAAGTACACACAACAGAGGTCAACATGTGACTAACCAGACTAACCCTTCTGGCATCCCCCTGCCATCTCTACCTGACCCTCTAGAAGGTTTGTGACTTCACTCTCCTGAGCTGCACGTGTACACACTGGCCCCGGGCAGCACATGCGTGTGCTCGGCAGGCAAGACCCGAGCGCACCTGGTGAATGCACGTACTCGCTCCCGGCTGTGCGAGAACAGGTGCACCCTGAACACGGCGTACGTTAGCTGCCGCTGCTGACAGAACCTACGTATCGTGAAGGATTCCAGCGTCTCATCTGTGACCCAACTTTGAATTAAAGGTTCCCACTTGTATTCCCCAAATATTTGGAAACTAACATGCTTTTAATGGAAACCCAACAGATTCTATTTTGTGGGCTATAACTAAAGCAGTAAAAATAAATTTTTTTTAAGTTCCCGTTTTTGCACTCGGCCTCTCCAACTACAGTCCTTTCTCAAGCGAGTGTGGGAGGGACAGCCTTCCTGTCCCGTGACTGCACCCCCTCTCCTCCCGCGGGCCAGGGCTGACAGCACCACACACGGGGCGGACTGGGGCCCAAGCTGCATTCCGAGAGACCAGCTCAACTGGGTGATGACAGGCCCCTGCACGGAGAGGCCCCGGTGCCGGAGCCGGTCAGCACCTCGGCCAACGCCGCGTCACAGCAGAGCTTGCTGCTACAAGGGGAGCCCTCAGCAGGCAGAGAAGCAAAGGAGTGGGACATACACAGAACCCGAGGAAAGAGCCTGGGACACCGCAGGAGAGCAAAGAAGACCCCTTGGATAGTGACCTACCCTCAGGGTCCAGCGAGGCCCGCTACCATCACAGGGCCTTTACTCGGCCACTTCTCTTCGGCGGGGCTCCTGACTCTAGCCCAGAGCTCCCCGGTCTCTCCGCTTTGCCCTGATGCCTGACTGCTCGACAAGTTCAGGTGCGCCTCCCTTTCCTCATCCACCCCACCCTCCTCACCCCCCACCCTCCTCACCCCCCACCCCCGCCTGGGTCCAGGCGCACAGTTAGGTTCTGCAGCCTCCCACACAAACACCCGCAAACTTCCCAAACCGCGTCCCCTGTGAGTTCACCTCACTGCTCGGCTCCCTGGTACCCAAGTTCACCCCCTGCTTACCGCCGCCCCCTCCCCACTAGCCCGGCGCCAGCTCAGCAAGGTCAGTAACGCAAAACCCCCGAGAGCACCTGGGTCTTGGGGAAGCAGGTCCGGCCTGGGATCCCCACCTGGGCCTCCTCCAGTAGGGTCCCCTCCTCCGCAGGGCGCTGGGATCACCAAATGAAGCCTCCCTCTCCCCGGTGTCCATGGTCACACAGTCCTGGGCTGTGTCACCCCTTCCCGCCCCCTCAGGGCCAGGGCGCCCCAGGTCCCTTCTCCCTGGCTTCACGGTCGCCCAGAAGACTTGCAAACTGTCTCCAGCCTGACCTCCCCGCTGACCTGCAGACTCAGGATCTAAGCACCACCTCACTGGCCTCAGCTTCATGTCCAAACCACCGCCCTCAATTTGCACCCCAGGGAACTGGCTGCTTCCAGGTGCATCCCGCCTCCAAACATCGCTCGTAGCCAGGTGCTCAAGCCCAAACCCTAGGACTCACCCTTCACCCTTCACCCTTCACCCAACCCAGGCACTCCGGTGCCCAAAATACACCTAAATTCTTCCCCCACTCCATCTCCACTACTGCCACCGGGTCCTATCCAGCTCTCCCACAGGTGTGACAGCCGCCTGCCCGATTCCCACACCCGGTGTCCCCTGGGGTCCACCCAGCTTTAAAAATGTCAATCAGGGGGCACCTGTGCGTCTCAGTCTCCGCCAAGTTCTCAGGTCACGATGTCCTGGCTGGGGGGATCTAGCCCTGCGTTGGGTTCTGTGCTGACAGCTCAGAACTTGCTCAGGATTCTCTCTCTCTGCCCCTTCCCAAGTGCACACTCTCTCCCTCCCTCAAAATAAATATATAGACTTAAAAAAAAAAAAAAACAGTTATGCTCATTTCAATCAACAGTTTTCATGTTAGGTATTTCATTTCTCTAATTCCGTGGTTAACATCTTACATAACTACTGTGTTATATTAAATCTTTACAGTGCTGAGTGCTCGCTTATGGGCTGAACTGTGCCCCACTTCCCAACGCTGCCAAAACAAAGAAATCCTAACCCCAGGACCTGAGGGTGTAACTTTAGAGATGTGATCATTACAGAAACAAGTTAAGAGGAGGTCATCACAGAAGCCCGTATCCAGTAGGACTGATGTTCTATCAAGGGAGAAACTTCTGGGGGCGCCTGGGCGGCTCAGTCGGTTAAGCATCCGACTTCGGGTCAGGTCATGATCTCAGTTTGTGGGTTCGAGCCCCGCGTCGGGCTCTGTGCTAATGGCTCAGCCTGTTTCAGATTCTGTGTCTCCCTCTCTCTCTGCCCCTTCCCAACTCATTCTGTCTCTCAAAACTGAATAAATGCTAAAAAAAATTTTTTTAGATAAAAATTAAAAAAAAGAGAGACAGAGAGACTTTGGCAGAGACAGGCATGCGCAGAGGAAAGCTGAAGACCGGGGGAGACTGCGGTGTGCAGACAGAGAACGGGAACCGTGTCCCAACAGACCACGGAACTCCAAAGACGGCCCGCGAACCACCAGAAGGAAGAGGCCAGGCGGGACCTCCCTACAGGACCCGGAGGGGGCGGGGTCCCGCCAACACCCTGAGTGCGGAAGACCCAGCCTCCAGGGCTGTGAACGGTCCCTGCTGTTCTCAGCTGCCCCAACTGCGGGGCTGTGTTTCAGCAGCCCAAGAAGCGAGTCCCCTCCTTGTGGACAGTCTCCCCTCCCTGGGCTTTCAGACACACTCCAATCCCCGGAAGTGCTCCCAACCGCCACGCTCCCTTCCCTCAGGTCCCAGGGTCATGCCTGTCCTGCCTGTCCCCAAACGCCCCGTCTCCCAAAGGCCCCATGCACTTCCCCCTCGCTTCGCCCTCTACACAGCTGCTCTCGGGGAGCTCACCACCGGCCACGCAGGCTACGCCATCTGCAGCCGGTCGCTTCCAAATCGGTATCCGACCCAGTTCTCTTAGGTGCCAGACTCTCCTCTAACCGGCACCTCCAAACTCAAGTCCAAAGTCCAACTCATCACTTTCTTTCTGCTGCCCCACGTCTGTTCCTCTGAAAACCTCTACCATCCACCTAAATGGCAGGCCGAGGCCCCCGAATTTCACCCAACTCCGCCTCGCTCAGCTCCTCTCGCCCGGGCAGTCACTAAGGTCGGCAGATTCCACCTCCAGGCGACCTCTGCAACCTTTCCTCTCCGCCTACGTTTATTAGCACGTCCAACAGCCACCACTGCGTGCCAGCCGCCTGCAATCCGCGGACCGTCCTTTTATAAGGCAGGCGCAGGGCCTGAGGTGTAGACACCATGGGGTGAAAGGGAATGCAAAGTGTACCCATCAGGGTTCAACGAGGAAAACAAAAACCATTCTATTTGAAACATAACTTAGGGGCGCCTGGGTGGCTCCGTCGGGTAAGCGTCCGACTTCGGCTCAGGTCATGATCTCGCGGTTCGTGGGTTCGAGCCCCGCGTCGGGCTCTGTGCTGACTGCCAGCTCAGAGCCTGGAGCCTGTTTCGGTCTGTGACTCCCTCTCTCTCTGACCCTCCCCTGCTCACGCTGTCTCTCTCATAAATAAATAAATACATACATACATACATACATACAAACAAACAAACATAACTGAAAGCAGAGACTCAACACACAGGTGATAGAAAAGCTAGGAACAGGGCACAGGCAGCACAGATTAGCAACAGGAAGGCGTGAGCACACTCAGGATGTGAGGACAAAGGGGCAAGGTTACCAAAGAAAGGGGTCAGGGTCACCTTGCAAAAGCAAGAACCGAAGGGGCCACTGACAGTGGCAGAAACACCATGTCAGGCCCCACGGAGAGAAAGTATCCTGGCTTCTCTCTTCCAGTCTCCCCATCTCCTACGAGCCCGTGAACACAGCGCTTGTGAACACAGCCGGAAGCCGGCCGCACACACACAGGGCGTGGAGGGAAAGGAATCTGACAATAGACCGGGACAGCCGCAACACAGGAATTTGCTTTACACGTTTGAGTAATTAAAAAAAAAGTGGGGGGGAGGGGAGGGCCACGTGGCTCAGTTGGTTAAACATCCACTTCAGTTTAGGTCATGATCTCACAGTGTGAGCCCCGCACAGGGCACTCTGTCTCTCCTTCTCTCCCTCTCTCTAAAATAAACATTAAAAAAAAAAAACAATTTTGGGGCGCCTGGGTGGCTCAGTCGGTTAAGTGTCCGACTTTCGCTCAGGTCATGATCTCGCGGTTCGTGGGTTCGTGCCCCGCGTCGGGCTCTGTGCTGACTGCCAGCTCAGAGCCTGGAGCCTGTTTCAGTCTGTGACTCCCTCTCTCTCCGACCCTCCCCTGCTCACGCTGTCTCTCTCTCTCTCCTAGAAATAAATAAAAATATTAAAAAAAAAAAAAACAATTTTGGGTCAAAACAGCAAAATAGGAGCTTCAAAGAGGGGATCGTCCACAGTATCAAGAGGAAGGTAAACAGGAAGAAAAATAATACAAAAAGAGAAAAGCACTGGTATTCTTCAAACGAGTGGCATGGAAATCGACCTCCAGCGGCTTAAAGAGAAAGGGATGTAAGGAAAAAGTGATTATTCGGATGAAATCCACTCAGGTTTGCTGATCCTGAGAGAGACTTGTGTATATTTGAAGGCAAAGGTCAAAGAGCCAGGGTGAAGGTCACGTTCCATTCAACAAACGCACCGAACACTGAAAATCCTGTCACAACTGATTTCCACAGGTCAGTGAACGACCACGTAATTAAAATCACCAACGCCGTAAAACCGAAGCTCCACTCTTTCATCAGCAGTTGTGTTTTCCCAGGAAGGTCCTAACTATAAATTACGAGGACTCTGCAGCTGTGTTCGTTTCTTAACAGGATCCAGTTCACCTGGCAACGCAGGCGGAAACCCTGACTCCCCAAATCATTTCATGAAATACAAATAAGCTTATTAAGAATGATCCTGGGGGCACCTGGGTGGCTCGCTTGGTTGAGCATCTGACTTCAGCTCAAGTCACGATCTCCTGGTTGAGTGGAGCCCTGAGGCGGGCTGTGTGCTTAGCGTTCTTGGATTCTGTGTCTCCCTCTCTCTCTGCCCCTCCCCCACTCATGCTCTGTGTGTCTGTCTCAAAAATAAACATTTTTTAAAAATTCAAATACAGGAACTAATTTAAAAAAAAAACTGATCCTGGTACATTTCCCAACTTTCCTCTGCAGCTTCGGGGTGGGGGGGATCTGGAGGGAAGAAAGAAAAAATAAGTAACTCCTCTTTCCTGGAAACCCACTCCTCCTGACTTTTCTATTTGCTCAGTCACCCAGGGTTATTTTTAGACTCTTCTTTTTCTCTAGGCCCCGCACCCTCCCTACTTGTTAAATTCTACATTTATTCTTTCATAAATCTCTTGTATCACGCGGCTCCCGTTTCCAGCTTGTTGCTGGCAGGCAGCTCAAGTGACTTCAAGCCAAAACAGACAAAGGTCCCTCCCAAACACACACTCTTCAATCCTCCAGACCTCTGGCGATGACAAAACCCCAAAAAAGCATCAACGGTCTCCACTGACTAGGGTCAAATCCAAACTCAGCGAAATGACGTGGGTGGATTCAAAGCATATTACCCCAATCGGCCTGAAAAGTCCCACCTCACCAGCCACACCCTGAAGGATTCTATTCCCTAGGTTTCGCCAGACCCTAAATCCAAGGTGCAGGCTCCTTAGCTTTGACGTATGGGAAATACAGTCTCGCCTTCAAGGCCGTGGCTCCTGGGCGCCCCAGACACAACCACCAGAGGCGATGCAAGCCCCTGCACCCCCCCCGGCCCGCGGGGGGAAACACCGGGTACAATCCAGTCCTTGCAGGGTGAGCAGCCGTTTATTTTCCCTGGTAAGTCTGAAGCCGCACCAGAGAGCAGGCGCCTCTTTCTATCTCCCCTTGAGGCCTCACGCCTCTGAAGCCCAATGATGACCTACTGCATGAACATAAAACGTCCTGACAAAGACGCGCACACTTTTTTTTTTTAATCCAGGGAAAAATAAAAAAGGAAAAAAAAAATCCTGGGGAAGACGTATCGCCCGGGCTGCCCGCCAGGCAGGCCCAGGACGGGGCCCTTCCGCCTGCAGAGATCCGAGCCCCGCGCCACCCACGAGCTGGTACCCACAGGCGCCAGGCAGCCCTGCGCGTGCGCGGCGCAGGGGGGCTCGCCCCCCCCACCCCCGCGCTCCGCGGTCCCCGGCCCTCCCAGGCGCGGGCCGCACTCTGCGGGCCGGGTCCCGGCCCCTCTCACCCGCATCAGCCTCCGGAGCAGGGGGCCGCGCCCACGGGCGCCGCCACGCAGAAGAGCCGCCAGCACACCCATGACCTTCGGCGCCGAGCCACACCGCTTCAGCGGAGACTAACCGCAGACGCCGCTGAGTCCCCGCGCCGCTGCCCCGCCCACCCGCGCCCGGCGCGCCCCGCCCGGCGCGCCCCGCCCCGCCCACCCGCGCCCGGCGCGCCCCGCCCACCCTC